TCTCCCTAAAGGAGTTTTCCAGGCAAATTATCAGAATTTTCGATTGCTTTAGCCTGGCCAGCAATTCTCGATATTTACAGTCACGGCCTCTTAAATTCTTAAACTCTAAATATAGGACTTTTGACAAGTTCAGCTTATCTTATCAACTGTGCCCTAAATAATGAAGAAAATAGTGTAAAGACATCATAGGGACGAGTTGCGTTTTCATTTCCCTAAAGAGGTCTAAAAGGTTTTCATCTTCAGCGGTTTTCGGACGTAGACTACAGGAATAAACAAAGTGATTACGTTGTTTTTCACTAACAAATTAAAAAGAGGAAAGCTTTTTAAAAATGTGTCGTCTCTCATCTCATTGGTTTATTGCTAACTTAACCCTCAGTTATCTTAGGTACTAAATAGAACCTGTGACGCATCAATCGTCAGTTTACAAAGAACTGACACGAAGAAAGATTTCAGTAAGTGATGAAAAAAAAAGTCAAGAAAACATGGAAGTATAATTAATGAAATATAATGAGTGAAGTGTAATGAGTGAGATATAGTGAAGGGTATGGGGTTGGTTTATTATTTTTTCTGGGCATGAGAATTTACAAGGTATAATAATGATATCTCTGACAACTTTCCCAAGGAGATCGAAGAAATACTTAAGAAATCACCCTTGGAAAATAGAGACGGAAGAAAGCTGAAAAAAATTAGCGTATTTCAAAGTCGATCGACAAATTTTCCAATAACAACCACTCTTTCCGACAAAATAAAAGTGAATTTCCTAGAACACTTGTACTCCCAAAAAGTGCAGGCGACAGTGAACGGTCCTTGAGATTGATTAGGTTATCGATTCATTGCCGGAAATTTGGGACATTATGGCGGAGGCGGTTCTCATACAAGCAAAATGGCGCCAAATCAGTATAAGAAAATGTATGGGAAAAGATTGTTTTTTCAAAATAGCTCTCTAAGAATGGGATATTCTTTTGCTGCGTAGTTGGAAGTGCAGCCTGCATCGGTTAAAGCGTCCATCGCTACGAAAAAGAAATACTGATTCAAATTCAAGCCTATCTTTTCCCAACGGTATACAAGTAAACTCGTAATTCTGACTCCATTTTCCCAAACAAACTCTTAAACTCTGCCTCGACTAGGTGTTACAATTTTTTTGTCGCGGGAATAACCTTGTGAAGATTCGCAACTGCGTAGTTCGGTATCCATTCTGCAGAAGTTTGCTCAACTAAATTGCTCGTAAAGGGTCGAATGTGTTGGCACACAAATTTTCCTTGAGCCAGGAGACTCTTTGTATTTTCACAGAGCTCGAAAGCCCAATACGTCATTTTTAAATACCCCAATTTTAGGAAGGAAGAACACGAAAGATACAAGTCCCTGTAACTGCACAATCTGGCCGCCATTTTCCTTGTTTTAACGTCTTCTTTGGCTTTTTGAGAAAGTAAAGTACCAGGCCTTTCTCTGGCGGGATTTTACGAAAATAGAAAGTTACGTGTTCACTTTACTTCCACCACCGTCATATTGAATTGTCTGTAATACGATATACCGCTGACATTTCGTAACGGGCTCGAAATGTTCCTGATTTCTGGTGATGTGACAGCTGTCAAAGGTCTCATAGAAATTACGCTTAGAGACTGGCTTGACATATTAGATTTCAAACCAAAATAGCGAAGAAGACCATTAGCCACCTACGATTTTACTCTGTTATATCAGCAATGTACCCAAAAAGAGACTGGAGACTTTAGAGAGGCAGATCGACTCTCGGTACAAAAACGAGTGAAAACCTAACTTTTGGATCGTGTCGGTTGTTAACGGGCAAAATCAAAGGTACGTACCTCAAGACATGGTAACTGAGATAACAAAGACGTTAGCAGCTAGGTTTGAAGACACTGCTCCGTAGTTAGATTGCTAACAAAAGTTTTGAAAACTTGGCCCTAATTGTCTTTCGACGCCGATGTCTTTTGAAACCCGTCAGGTGCTAGTACTAACAATAATAAGTCATTGAATTCTTTATTTGGATTTGTTAATCATGCCTTGTCCTATATCAGATACAATTAAGTAGAGTCAGATCCCTAGAAATCTTTGGTCAGTTTGAGCCACTTGCTTGACAATTTTAGCTGCTTTTCACAAGTCGATCCGCCAGTATGCAGCATTAGCGGAACGAGAAGTTGTGCACCTAAATATGTGCGGATCAAATGAAAACAAACTTTCACTTCTGCTTTCTCTGAACACTAGTCGGCGTCGTGAAAAGATATGTTTTATACATGGAGAAAAGAAAGAACACTCGCCAATCTCGAATGATTTGTAATCTATCTGCTACTGTGAGAGCCATCGACATTACCTTACATTAAGCCACTGTCAGACAATTTCATTTGCACAACCGTCGTTAGCGATGACTGTAAATATGATATACTCACATATTTCATCGACTCGGAATAGGTGCCAAGGTTGTTATTATGGCGCCTATTCCGAGTCGAATTTCCAATTGTAAAGACATCTGGTTAGGTATTTAAATGAAAAGAAACTTCAACAGTAATAGGCTTGGTTTTTCAATCACAAGAGTTCATTTAACTGATATAACTTTGATGAAGCATTTCAATGTATCAGATATTTCTAGAAATCGCTAATGACAACAGAACTGTTCAGATGGATTCGAGTATATAGTAATTCTTGATGTAGTAGAGCCCAGTTGCAACGAATTAAACACATTCACAGTCTGTGGCCAATTGATAATTTGAAAGATCACTCCTTGAAACGTTTCTGCGACAATTTCGGCGCTGCTTCCACGAGATTTTTTAGCTTACTGGCTTATAGCCAAGGGTAAGACCACATCAAGTAAGACCTCACGAACCGTGCCGGTCACTTTAAAGTTTATATGCCAGAGTTGGTTCGAAACCGTTAGGTTACATACTTCGATTTTTTTATTTTTTTACTTCAAAAATTGGTTTCTCCTCCTTTTTCTTTTCTTTTTTATTTACCAAATTCTATAAAGCACAAGACCTCTAATATTACGAGATGGTGCGATTTTGCCTTATAGGCCTCAAATCGCGTCAGATAGCGACCGTACAATTGGTCACTCCATTTCACTACCTCTAGGAATTGTTAATTAATCGGAGCACTTCATTCCCCTTGAGAGTTTATCTAGGAATCCACTCGGAAACTTAGTCTGAATAATTACCTTCCCCCTCGGAATTATATGTTCCCCGTTCCTCTACCATGGAGAAGAGATCCAGAAGGAACTGCGCATTTTTTTCTCTGTACATATATCATATATACGTTACAAACGCCTCTTTGTTTCCATTTAAAGGGTGTCGACAGAATAAAGCAATGTTTCTTTCAAGTTAAATATACATCGTCGTGTATCACCTTTTTGAGGAGAAAAGAAAAGTTGATTTGTTATTATACATTTCCAAATTGCAGCGTTTTTGAAAATGTTTTAGCTTTTTAATTTTTAATTTTTCTTAATCCGTGCATGCCTCAAGAAGAATGACGGCTGAAACGTCGTATGCTGGAACAGATTAGAGTTGATCTTTTCTCCTTTTACCATTTACTAAAACACTAAACATTTTGGAGAAGACCCTTGTACCCTAACCAAACTAATATTTTAACTAAAAATATTACGTTTCTAACATTACATTTGCAAGCAATAATTGCTTTAGAATTTCATCAGAATTACACTGCATGTAGATGACACCTGAACACATTACGTGTAGCTGTTAATTGCTGGTAGCAAAAGTTGGTAAAACCAATATCTGGAAATGGCAGCCTGAGTGGTGAATAACACGAATAAAAATGCACGTGTCTCTGTAATGTAAAGCGTTTACATGCCAAGGGTCGAAGCTGGGACCGATTCTATTTTTTCTTCCGGTGTGTTCAGTCCTTTAGACCACGAATAACGCAAGATTGAGGTGACCCTCCCTTCCCAAGAAATTGCAAAATTGATGATATACCTGCGTACCTGGAACGAACACAGCCGTCAAACGTCAAGCATGCGCAAGGGAATCAATTTTGGCCACCCGCGCGCTTCCTGTGCGCCAATTCTCTACGCAGTGTTACAGAAAAAAAAACATAAGAAACAACCGAGGTCCTGCGAAATAAGCGAGAATAATTGAGACGCTCATAGATTTCTGAAAAAGGAAGCAAAGTAAGGCAATGAAATACTCGGGATTTTTCGTACACAAAGCTTAATGAAGTGCGGGTTTTTCCTATTGACCATTTTTTATAGCCTTATCCGAAAAGTGGTACGGTTTTCGAACACCGCCACTTACCCGCTCATGTGGTTGTTTATGAGACAACGTGATCCTGAAAGCCTGAGAGCAGTCACCTACCTCTACAAGATTCGCACCTGCGTAGACGTTTAACCGCAGCGTTCTTATACGCGATGGTACGTGATAATCAAATTTTAATCAAATTTTCTCAACTTCTTACTGAAGTTAATTTAGAGCAAATGGATGAACAACTAACCGAGGCAGAGAATGTTCCGGAAAGCTTTTCCACACCTGTCGGACGAGAACCTCGAGTAAAGACGGCTTTACAACGTAACTTTTCGGCACGGAGATATATAGCTTTTTCTGTCTTCTTGGATATAAGTATACCCGAGGCTGTTAGCCTTGAGGAATTCTTCCTGCAACATTTTCAAGATCTCGCCTATAAAATAAAGAAAACATTGAAAGAACAGATCTCAAGTAACGGGATTGACCCTGAGGTAAAGCAGATATCGTGCAAAGGCGAAACTCTACAGGTTGAACTTCTATATCATCAGGATAATAATTTGTTATCCCTGAAGCAAAACTTCAAAGAAATTTCTACCAAGATCAAAGAAAACATCAAGGAGATTGGACCTTGGGGGGAGCCGATAGATGTACGCGTGAGGAACTCCAAACAAATGGACCGAAAGGTGGAAGAAATAAGGTACAGTGTTTATTTAACAATTATTCCACGAGTGCGCGTTGGATATGAGATGATAGATAGCCAACGAGGCGCGTAGCGCCCAGTTGGCTATAATCATCTCATATCCAACAAGCTGGAGTGGAATAATTGTTTTTTAAAAGAAAAAAAAACGCCCCCAAGATGTTAGACAAATCTTCTCGACTTCATTTTGTAAGGAGAAACCGGATGTTACAATGCACAGATATTAGATTATGGTATATTGGCTCATATACCATAATGGCTAAGCCAATAAAAAGTCTTGAATTGCATTATCCAATGATCCAGTTTTTAATAAAAACAATTATTGAATGTCAGAGGTTTTTGTGATATCCGGAATAATCAAGGTCGAGGTAAATGTTATAACACTAACCAAGACCTTGATTATTCCAGATATCACCAAAAATCTCATCCAATAATTGTTTTATTATACATTGTTTTAAAGAAAATAACGTCAAACTCTTTATCGCAGCGAACACGGAGTAAAACGATCCATCCTTTTTTCGCGCTCCCACATAAAATATTTCAACACTTGGGTTAATTCCTTTTTGTCGTGTGGCTCCTGGGTATTCTTCTCTTTAGGGTATTCTTAGAACAGTTCCTTCGCCACTTTTGTCGATCTTTTAGTATTTTCCGAATCTTTATCTTCAAGTAATTTCTCAGTTTCTCGCCGGGTCGATGAAGCGAATCGAGAAGCCATTCTTACTTCGCTGTCCGTGAACTTGACGTTGCTCCACTGGAAATCGTGCATTGCGCGCGCAACCTACATATTATTTACCAATCTGTAGGTACAGATTAGTGAATAATCTGTAGGTTGCGCTGTTTCCCAGAATTAACTGAGGGCGTTTAGCCAATGAGAAGACAGATGGTGACTACAATGTACAATAATAAGATTAATTAGCCCTATTTGTAGCTAATACGTGCCTATGCTGTTCCAGCAAGCCATAGAACTATTCGATTTGGAGTCCATATCATAATATATGTTTACGCATTCAGTAGCATTCAGAAAAACTAAAAGCCTTTAAATTTATTATCCTTTTCTTTACGTTCAATATATTTTCACTTAGAGCTGGATCACACTAAAGTGTATTTTGTTTGTTTAAGTGAAAAAAATCTTTCATCCCATAACACAAAATAGGTTCGACGCCAACTGTTACAGAAGGTAAGACATGTTTGGGTACTACTAAAGTCGAGCGGTCTAATTTGACGCACACGATGGCTCAACAAAACAACATTCTTCTTGGTCCATTTCGAAAGAAATGAACAATGGAGCACCGTCTGTAACTGTCCAGGTTATATATTAGTGACATTTCCGTCAGATCGTATTTCAGAACTTCGTGCGTCTTTACTCGTCGTTTGTGTGCATGGTTTGTTTTTGCGTTTGCGTTTGCGAAGTTACTGCGTTTATTGCAAAGTTTTGGACCCTCCGTTTATAACTACTCCGGCCTACAGAGAGGACGATCGGTGAGCATGTGTTTTTACCTTTCTTAGTTTCATTTCGTCGGTTTTATTTCAAGTTTGAGTTGTTTTGTCGTTTACTGCGTTCGTGTTTTTATCACATCCAATTATTGTTCGGCTTTGTCCTTTCGCGTCGCTTAGACTAGATATTTTCGCTCGTATTAGTTTGACGGTTTTGAGCATTGGTATATTTTAATAAAGTTAAATCATTAGAAATCAACACGAAGTCCAGTGCTCTTGATTAGTGCTTCGACGTCCTTAATTTTTAATTCTGAACTTGCGGAATGTTTGTGACTCGTCCGTTTACCGCAGCAATTTGTAGAAAAGGGTAATTTGACGTTTGGAGCGTTAGTCCTTCGTTCTGACGAAGGGCTAACGCTCGAAACGTCAGCTTTTTTAGTCTTTACGGTGGCCAATTTAAAATTTCAACTTAGTTGATAGAACTATATTACCTTGTTACCCCCACCGATGCAGCACCACGGCTTCTTTAGAAACTTTCAGCCTTTATTAACCGCCTCCCGGTTAGCTCAATGGATAGAGCGCTGGACTGTTGTGCGGGAGGTCGAGGGTTCGAGTCCCGGCCGGACCAACACTCAGGGTCTTAAAATAATTGAGAAGAATTTGCTACCTTTCTATAACATCAAGAAATGGTTAGATATTCTAGTCTTCTCGGATAGGGACGAATAAATGGAGGTCCCGTCTCCTGCAGGGTTGGGGTAGGAGACGTTAATTTCCCACACACGAGATTACTGTGTGATGGATGTCCTCCCCTGGGGTGGGATGGGTGGGATATAGGGCGCACTTAATTTGGAGCCTCGCTCTGTTGTGCGACCCTCACCACACTCTGGTGAAAGTGATTAAATAAACAATGCCANTAGTCAGCTTCTTCAGGATGATCTTAATAATCTTAGCGCATGGGCTCGTAAGTGGCAGCTACGTTTCAACGCAGACAAATGCGAATCTATGCGAATTACGCATTTACGCGATAAGTCGGTAACTAATTATTTCTTAGAAAAGCCCCTGAAAGATGTGACTAATTTTAAAGATCTCGGTGTCACACTAACTAGAGATCTTTCATGGGGCCATCACATAAGTATCACTGTCAATAAAGCGAACAAAGTTTTAGGTTCCATTAAACGCTCAGTAGGCACCGCTAACACAAATGTTTTTTCTATGCTGTACATGTCTCTGGTACGGCCAATCTTGGAATATGCGGTACCTGTTTGGTGTCCTTACCTTGTTAAGGACATCCATACCCTTGAAAATGTACAGCGAAGAGCCTCAAGACTCGCTTTAAATCAACGCAAAGGAGAAATGTCCTATGAAGACCGATGCAAACTGCTAAAATGGCCCACTCTCTCTGACCGTAGAACTTACTTATCTTTAGTCGAATGTTATAAGATAGTTTTTGGTTTTTATCATTTAAATTTTGAAGACTTCTTTGATATTGCCACGATTCGGTCTACGAGAGCAAATCATCAATACAAACTCTATATTAAACCAGCTAGACTTAATTGTTACAAAAATTCTTTTTTTATTAGGATTGTCAAATTATGGAATGAGTTACCGGGTGATATAGTGGAAGCTGACAGCTTTCAGCATTTTAAATCTAAACTTAAATCGTACTTAAATATTTGATTGTAATGATTTTGATTTATATTTTGTCTTTTCTTTTAAGGGAGTTTTTACACAGGGATAACCTCTTAACTTCCTTTTCTAGAAGTATTTTCTTTTTAGTTTTATTTGTATATAATAGTTATCATCTGCTTCTGGAATAAATAAAGTATGTATGTATGTATGTATGTAATTCGCCTGAGATTGTTCATTGACTTTTAGAATCGAGAAGTCGGGTTTGTGATTGACCTATAATGCTTTGTTTTCCTTTCTCCAACAAGTGTTTACTTTTCTACCACTATAAATTATAAAACAAGGCTTTGATGGTAATAAACCATCAAAACTTTATTATGATATACCCGTTTCTACATTAACACTTCTTTATTTTTGTATTTAGGCTGATAGAAAGATCTTACTGTAAAAGGGAACAAGGCATGACTGACATGCACAAGGAGATAATTAATTGTCAAAAAGAAGCTATCGTGAAAGATCTCGAGGTGACAAAAATACTTAAGAAGCTTATGACAAAGAGAATTTTTGATGAAAAAGATAAAAAGGCGATAGAAAAGAAGACTAACGACCGTCTCAGGAGTAGCAAATTGCTGGATATACTACTTGATAAAGTTCCAGATCGATTCAGTGACTTTGTGGACATCTTGTGTGACGGAACTCAAAAGTTTCTTGCCATCGGTCTCCTGAAAGAAGGTAAGTTATCTTATTGTCAGATAACAGTAGTAACTGCGCCTAGAAGGACTGTTTTTGATTGAGATTTTTCTTTCATGAGAATCTCATTTTACTCAATTTACAGTACTTACAAGCACATACTTTTTCCAGAGAGCAAAGAATACCAAAAGGAGAAAGACGCATTATGGTCGTTCTTGAATGAGATGGCTGAAGCAAGAAAGGAAATTTATGAAAGAAAATATGAGCTAGAGCTGGAATTAAAGGGTGCTCATGAAAAGATAGGTAAATGCACAACAAGTTTATTGTAGAAAAAGACCCGTAAGACATAATCTGGCTGGTATATTGCTTGGTATATTGTTTGTAGATATATATATTTATAACCAACTGCAGACAGTACCGTTTCGGCCTTCTGGGCCTTATCAGTGCAGTGCTGATGCTAGGATGGGGTAGAACCCATATGGTTACTCCGAACGATCCCACATTTGTGGTATCGTCTAAGCCATGCCAGAGTGCTCAAACTAGGGAAGCCTAGTAAGCTATACTTGGGAGGTTTGCTAAGCACTCTAAGCACTCAAGAAGTTAGAGTCGCTCTCGGCTATCGCCTCGAGCGACTCTTACGCTTCTTTCGTGCTTAGCAACCTCCCGCGTGCATCCATATCTCAATAGTGTACGCTGTGGTGTTTACCATTTGTTAAATATATAACCAAAATAGCGGAAGGAGATCATCATCTAAAAAGTGCTCGATAGCAGGGCTAGAGCTGTGGATAGTTATACTTCAAGATCTAGGCTACTTGAACTTTTACTGTAACTCTGAGTTTCATGCCTCTTGCGGAGCAATCGTCAGGCAACTCTTTCATTCATCTGTTTCGACGTTTGTGAATTCTACCCCTCCATAACTGAGAAGTTGTTTTCCAAAGCACTAGATTTTGGCTCTAAGTACCGCTAAATCAACAGCCATGAGTGTGAAATTATCTTGCACGCAAAACGATCTCTGCTACTCAATGATGATTGCCCATGGGAGAAAAATTCTGCCAGCAACCTCTTTAATGTTACCATGGGATACTTCGATGGAGCGAAAACGTGTGAGCTGGTTGGATGCTTTCTCTTATCAATTCTTACTGAGAAGTATGGTCTAAATATTGGTTTATACCGGGATGATGGTCTGGCTGCCCTCAATGGAACACCGCAGGAAATAGAGAATATCAAGAAAGATTTTTGCAACGTCTTCCGCGACAATGACTTAAAAATCACAGTCGAGGCTAACATCACCAAAACCAATTTTCTAGATGCCGCGCTTGACCTCTCAAGTGGGAAGTACTATCCTTTCACCAAGGAAGGCAACATCCCCCTCTACGTGCATAAAAATTCCAACCACCCACCATCCATTCTGCATAACATCCCTGAATCAATCAATAGGAGGCTCTCCGAGATATCTTCCCACGGGGAATGCTTCGATAGCGCTAAACCTATTTATCAGGAAGCTCTCAAAAAAAGTGGGTATAGCTAAAACCCTGTCATTCAAAGCCGCATTAAACCAGGCACCACGTCCACGAAGAAACAGGCAGCGGAACATTACATGATGTAACCCACCATATAGCAAGAACGTGGAAACTAACATCGGAAAATGCTTCCTTGCACTTATTGATAAGCATTTCACCAAAACTAATCCTCTTCACAAAATTTTTTACCGAAACACCCTTAAATTGAGCGACAGCTGCATGGGCAGCATTAAAACTGTCACATCTAACCATAACAAAGCAGAAATCCGGAAACTCGCACGCACTAATGATCAAGCTAGGAAAAGCTGCAACTGTAGGAAACCTGACTTATGGATTTTGTTGCTAATTCCCTCCAGGGATTTTGTTGCTAATGTGCCCTTTCGGGCTCCAAAGGCCTTGTTTTGGGATTTTGTTACGGTTTACAGTTGTAGTACTCCTTTGCAATTGGTTACGCCACTCATTTTAACATATTTAGTATTCTTATCTCTTAGCTTTTAGGGTTTTTTTCTTGTATTTTGTCCATTGCTTCCTTTGTAATTAGGTTTTTTGTTATCTTTTTATTAGCACCAGTTCATTAGTCGTTATCTGTAATTACGTAATCATTAGCATTTCGATCTTATTTAATGCTCTCTTTTTTTTATTTCAAAAGTTGTAAATAACTGAAGAAGGTCTCGGACCGAAACGTTTTTTATTAAAATTTTTTATATTTTTGACGTCAGAAGTT